GGACAGGAAATGAGAACGTCAGGGTTGTGGAGAGCTCAGAAACTGCAAAAATCGGCTCTTTTGGGGTTTTAAAGAAATGCAAAATTCAGCTCTTTTGGGGTTTTCAAAAAATCCAAAATTCAGCTCTTTTGGGGTTTTCAAGAACTTAAAAATTCAGTTGATTTGGGATTTTTAAAATCGCTAAAATTTGGCTGATTTGGGGTTTTTAAGAACTGCAAAATTCAGCTCTTTTGGGGTTTAAAAAACTTTTTTCAGGAACTCCAAAATTCAGCTGATTTGGGTTTTGTCCTGCAGGAATTTCATTCAAATTTTCCCCCACATTTTCCCCCAATTTCCCCCTAATTTATCCCAAATTTTCCCCCATTTTTTTCCCCGATTTTTCCCCAATTTCCCCCCATTTTTTTCCCCATTTTTCCCCCACACCAAACACCTTCCACAATCTCCTTTTTCCACATTTTTATTTCCCAAATCCCATTTTGTATCCGATACAAAATTCCCCCTCACGGATCCAGGGGGGGTCTATGTATAACATAGAAAAAAAACCCCAAATGGGCCCAAACCGGGATTTGTACCCAATTCCTGCAACTGGGAGCAAAAATTCCCATTTTTTTTAGGAAAAATCCACCGGTGTTTGGAGCAAAAATAGCTCTGGAATTGTAAAAAATTCACTTTTTTTTAATTTTTAGGCTGATAAAAAATTGAGGTTTTTTTAAAATTTTTAGGCTGAAAAATTGAGAAAATATCAAAAGGAACATTCCGGGCACACCCCGGTCATGGCAGAGCTGGAATTTCCTGGGAATTCCCAAAAGATTTCCTGAGAATTCCTGGAGGATTTCATGGGAATTTTTCGAGGATTTTTTGGAAATTTCTCGAGGATTTTTTGGGAATCTCTCGAGGTTTTTCTGGGAAGTCCCTGAGAATTTCCTGTGAATTCCCAAAGGATTTCTGGAGGATTTCCTGGGAATTCTGGAAGGATTTTCTGGGAATTCCTGGATCATTGCCTGGGAATTCCCAGGAAATTCTGGGAGGATTTTCTGAGAATTTTGGGAGAATTTTCTGAGAGTTCCCAAAGGATTTCCTGGGAATTCCCGGATTGGTTCCACATGGAGAATCCCCCGAAATTCCAGAGGGGCCCTGGGGGAGATCCGGGGATAATTAAAGGGTTAAACCAGCCCTAATTAACCCCAAAAACCCCAGAATTAACCCCAAAATTCCCCTAATTAACCCCAAAACTCCCAGAATTAATGAATCCCGGCCGATCCCGCTGCTCCGTCGCTCCCGGGCTCAGAAATGCAGGAATTGGGCAAATCCGGGCTCAGAAATGCAGGAATTGGGCAAATCCGGGCTCAGTTTTTGATGAGGCTCGAATTGGGGTCCATCTGCTCCTCCTGGATGGGGACGCGGCAGCTGCGCTCCTCTGCAGGGCAGAAATCCAAAAAAATCCCATAAAAATACATGGAAATCCCCTGGAAATCCCATAGAAATCAGCAACAAAGAAATCCCAGAAAAATCCCGTTAAATCCCATGGAAATCCCATAGTAACCAGCACCGCAGAAATCCCAGAAAAATCCCATGGAAATCCCATAAAATCCCCTAGAAATCCCATGGAAATCCCATTGAAATCCCATTAAAATCCCATAGGAATCAGCAACAAAGAAATCCCAAAAAATCCCATAGAAATCCCACAGAAATCCCATAAAACCAGGAACGAGGAAATCCCATAAAAATAACAATGGGATCCCCATTTACTCCTGTTTTTTCCCCGTTTTTTCCCCCATTTTTCCCCCCATTATTTTCTCTTTTTTTTCCCCATTTTCTCCAATTTTGTCCCCATTTTCCCCCCATTATTTTCCTATTTCCTCCCCTTTTTTAACCCCATTTTCCCGATTTTTTCCACTCCTGTTCCCGTTCCCATTCCCGGGCTCTTTGGC